AGCCTGAGCCCTTTCAGGTAACTTCCTAGTATCCTTGGATATGGAGTCAATTTTGTCTATCATAGTATCCACTTGTTCAGATAACCCCTGATTTTCAATAATTTTAATCCTTTCAACTAGTCCTTCATTATTAGTCCGTAAAAATTGTATCTTCCTTAATGATAGAATATGGAAAAAAAACCTGAAACGTAGTAACAAGTAAATTGATGTATCCCCATAGTCATATAAACCTTGCATGACATAATCCATTGTATTAGTAAAGAAAGCAGTAAAATTTGCGTTGGAAACGAAAATTGCCATATTACCTATTATCCAGTAGGCGGCACTGTTGCCAAGTCACGACTAGAACCACTGCAAAGATGACGGAATCGGGGTCCTGTTTCAGTGTCTGCCTTAGTATTTGTTAAAAACTAGGAAATATAAGTTGCTCAACAAAGAAAATATAATTAAATCAATTCCATACATGGAACCAGAAATCCAGAATCCAGGGGTAGAGAAGAGCAACCTGGAAGCCACATATGCCTCCACGTGACCGAGTTGCCCCGAGGGGTTGCAGCTTTTGGCAACCGCTTGCGCTCTGATTCACTCCACTCAAGCGCTGCACTTACAAGGGAGATTTAAGAACAACTCAGAAAAAAACAAACCAGGGGGACAGAGACTGTCCCGAGCTTGTGGAGCTTAGGAGGCGTGGAGTTTAAATCCATGTGGTGGCTTGAAGTCATTCTGAGGCGTGTAAATAGAAAATATAAAGAATTGCAGCAAGAAAGGCCACTGCATGATAGTTTATATTGAACTGCTGGCTCCACACACAGGGCACAGGCCACAGCTGAGGGAAGGCTCATGCCTTGCTAAGCTTGCAGCAGGCAGCTGAGCGTGGGAGGGGAAGGGGGGGTTTTACAACCAAATGTTGGGTGCCAGATGAAGGCATCAGTCACAAACAATCCCATACCAGTTTGGAATTATGATTAATAGAATGGTTATTTATTCAAAGTGGAATGGGAAAAAATTTACAGATTACCGTCCCATACAACAACCCCTCAGCGCGATCAGGAAAGGAGTCTAGGAGCCAGAAGCCGAGCCGGAAGCCAGAGAGAGAATGGAGGACAGCCACTGCTTTTTTAAAGAGAGAGAGACCACGCCCCAATGGGCTGGTATCTCAGTGGCTATTTTCTGAAGGAGCAGAAGGAGCTCCTGCAGCAGGGGAGAATTGGGAGGGGCTAGCCCAGTGTGCAGAGGGGGTCCAAGGGTGGGAAGATGTGGTAGGAGTGGGGAGAGAGGAAGGTGGGTAAGGGGGAAGTTGACTTAGAATTTCCAATTTGGCTAGGGAGGAGGTAGGTGAGGACAGGGAAGGAGAGGAATGTGGAGAATGTTGCTTCACAGGAGGGGAGTCTGTAGTGAGGATTTGAGGGAGTGGGGGAGGGGCCAGTGCCTCTGGCTGCATTGTCCAGCTAGAATTATTGGGGTCCTAATTACCAGATGACCAGGAGTTTGGAGGCATCACAGTCCTAGCAACCAAGACCCGTATTGCGAGGCACTGGCTACTGAAGGAAAGGCGAGAGTACAGAGCCCAAAAACCATGGACATATGGAAGCTCTGTCCACTTATCCCCACAGCGACAGATATTTTCTAGGTCTTGAAGGGATAGTAAGCTCAAGGATTTTCTCTGGTGGCCCATGCGTCCCATTGTCAGATTGTATTGAGGTCAAATCTTAGTCCATAGGGTAATTAGCCGTTTAGGACATATTGTATCGGACAAGCCCAATTTATAAAGATTTTGTAAGAGGCATCCCAGGGGCGACAGTGTATCTGGCTTTGAACTGCAAGCGCTATTTTAAAGTCTATGCCCAACTGTGTGGCCTAAGTCTATTACAGAGCTTCCACCAAAATAGCTCTTAGACAAAAATGGGGCCATGAAAATTGAATCCTTGGCCTATCCAAAACAAACAAAATTCACCTCTGCTAAGCCTGGCTCAGTCACTGGGATCAGGCTCTTGGTGCAGTCCATGTCTTTAGCAAGAGCCTGATAATTCACAAAAAGTAAAAAGGAACGGGTTTCCCAAAACCCTATATCATGGACAAGAAAAAAGGGACACATTAAGACACATCCGCTGTAGTCTGGGAGCTGGTTTTAGCCTGATGTGAAGAACTTGGGTTGTGGACAAGGTTGCTTTCTACACGTGGATGTAGGCTGTGGGAAAGACTGCCCTACTTGGTGGGACCTCCAGATGTTAGAAATATTTTCTAACAGGAGCTCTCTGCCCACGCAAAAATCCCTATCAAGCCAAATCAAAACAAACCAAATTTAAAAAATTCCAGGTTTAACTGGGCTCCTGCACTCTTGGGTGGTCCTGAGGGGAAGCAGAAAGCCGCCAATGTGATCACGGTTGTGGGGGGAGGGAAAACCACGTGTTTATTTTTTGGGGAGCAGTTTAAATAGCTTGGGGGAGTGGTCGTGATCTTTTCTGGGTAGGGGTCAAGGTTTGGCAGTCTACCTTGACCCTCCTTGGGAAGGGGTCAAGGTGCAAGGGGCATAGCGATGGAGCCTCCAAAGATGGAGGCCAAAGACCAGGATTTACAGACACAAATGGAAAAGTTTAAGACACCCTGGTTGTAGTGTCCCTTATGATGTTTATTATTTTTTTTATAGTTAAATTGTATGAGAGTGGAGAGGTAGCTTAGCAGACGAGCACTTGCTGCTCTAAAGATCCTAGTTCAGTTCTGGGCTCACAGTCGTTTGTAACTCCAACCACAGAGGATCCATGGGTACCAGCGTGTGCGCATGTACACACACACACACACACACACACACACACACGCACAGAGAGAGAGAGAGAGAGACAGAGTAAGAGAGAGAGAGAGAGAGAGAGAGAGAGAGAGAGAGAGAGAGAGGTTGTAAATCGTTTTTTAAAACGTAGAAACATACTTAGGTTTTTTTTTCCATAGACAGGCTATCTGCCACTTTTCCACTCAGTCATATAGCATTTTGAAATTTTTCTATCATTGTCACTAGTTAGCAATTACTCAGAGGAACAACTATCAGCACATGGAGACATTTTTCTGTCCCTTTTCTCCCATATTTGTCTTGAAAGACCCCCGAAGGATGTCTTCCTAGCGAGAGGCCCCGAACCCA